GCCCTGCTTCAGAGAGCTTCCCAGCCTGTTTGAGGGGCACAGCCCTTGGTGCTTCCCATTTCTAACCAATCCTCTTGAAACAACCAGTCAGAAAGAAGAGAGGTAACCAAAGCAAAGATGGCACACTAAGTCAGATGGAGAACTAGGAAGAACAGCTCAGGCCCCTAGGGGCATTTTCCAAGGCCTGGAGACCCTAGAGGCTCGGTCGGGTTTGATGCCCACTTCCACATCAGGGCCTTCGGGGCTCCATAGACACAGAGACAGACCATGAGAGTACACTCTTGCAAAAGGACAGTCCTGTGTTGCCTGGATCAGGTGGAGCTTGGGGACCACAACTGCAGCTTCCTTGGCCATGCTGATCAGCCAGCATACACTCGTGTTTGCTAGTGAGTGCTCTCATTAATGCCCCTGGTCAGTTCTACCCCAGTTCTCTAGGACTGACCAGAAGGCCTAATGTCCCAGGAAGAAAGGGTTCCTCTCTGGATCTGTACTGAACAAGGTCCCTTAAGGGACTTGCTCACAAAAGGAGAAAGATATAGACAAGCAATTGACCCACCGGCGGGACTCCTTGTACAATCGTAGGGCACTAGAACCTTCCAGATGTCTTGCTGGACATCATCAGGGCCAGCCTTGTGATCTGCAATCCTCTCTGCCATGTTATTTGAGATGCTTTTCTTCTGCCAGCATCGAGCCAGGTGTCCTGGACTTTGGTAGCCAAGAACAGGCTTCAAAAGGCTAAGTGGAAGGTGACCATCTTCAAAGAGCCTTCAGACTTCCCAGAAATCTTTGGCACACAGCCCTGACCTCAGGTCAGTTTACTGCAAATGAACTTGTGAGAGCTCCATGAGGGCAGGGTCTGTTTGTCTGGTTCACTGGTGTCTGACAACCCAGAGCACAGGGCTGAAGTACAGCTGGTATTCAATACTGACTTGTTGAATTAATGGACCCAGAGTTGAAACCTTCTAGCTATACCGTCCATACTAGCCAACTGCAAGGCAGTTACCCCCGTCTGCCTCATCAGTAAGTAGGGACCAAAATACCCACCTCAGGGCATGATTATGAGCATCAGTTGGAAATTACATGTAAAGGAGTTAGCACACAGAGAGGCAGAGAGCACTTCTTTGTTTTCAGTTTGTAAACACTTAAGCTTTCACTGTACGCCAGATGCTGTTTAAACATCATAGGGAGATTCCAGATCACAATTAGTTCATTTAGTTCGTGCGACAATCCCCGTGAAGTAGGATCTAGTTAACCCTCCTTTGTAGCTGAGGAAATTGGGACAGTGAGAGGTAAGGCAACTTGCACAAAGCCTAATACCTAGACGTGCAGGGCCAAGATTCACAGAAATTACAAAGTCCAAACGGTCGGTCAAGCACTGCACGTGCCCGCCTCTACGGCCATCAGTAAAAGCTGGTTTCTGTCTTTCCCCTTGCTTGATTCTGGGGACTATCTGGCCACATTACAAGACTGGTATATTCAATTACAAAAGAAATAGGTCTAGGTATTCCCATGGTTCACTGCTTTGTTGTGTCTTGTTTTAAACTATGGTCTACTCCCCCAAAATCCAATTTCACAGAAGTCTGTTGACTTCCCTCCCATCTTGTCCTCCTGCTATCTCCTCTCCCACTCTCTATAGACCAGGGGAGGGGGAAAAAACACAACTATGTAAAAATAAGAAATGCCAAAGGAAAACAGACGCAGAGAAAGAGAGCAAGCCCACAGGAACAAGTGTGCGTGCCCTTAGGAACAAAGTCAAAGAAGGTCGCACCCCTCCTAATAATCTAAGAATAACTGCCTACACACTGGGGAGCCCAAGGCAGAAGCAATCTATCCACCTAGAGACCAATGACAAAAGTCCCAGCTCCCCTGCAGACCAAGGAAACAAGAGAGAATCAAGCCATCCCCTCCAATGGATGAAACCTCATCATAAACAGCACTTTCCATTCTTTCTCTCCGAGATTGCATTTGCTCTACTGCCAACCAGGAAGGAAATTTCATTACCAAAATAAATCACTTGACCTTGCTTCTCCAATGGTTCAGGATTAGTGACATCACAGAGCACTCTACAAAGCTCAGATATATTGGAACAACCAACCCCCCTCAAGAAAAAATACTCGGTATTTCATCACTAAAGGACATTAAATTATTTTGATTTCACTGCACGGAATCCCAAATACTTTCAATGTTTTCATTTTTAAAACCCTTAGAGAAAAAGTATGCTCTTAAGAGTAAGGTCATAAAGAGTACGGCCTTAAGAACTGCTGCTTCCTGATCTGGTTTGTGTCCTGATTCATGTCTGTACAATGGGGAACAGGACAGAGGCCGAAGAACCGCGCTTCTGACCCTGCATGACTCCATCGCCAGGTGGCCAGGCCTCACTTGCTGTGGAGAATCAACTCTGTCCCATTCTCAGAGTCCCAGGCTCCTCTGAAGGTGCCCCATCTCCATCTGCCATAGCCCAGCTTCCAAAGTTTCCCTTTCCAGTTCTTCCAGGTGGACCAAAGAAAGAGAGTTGAGTGGAGGTATTTTCTCCCCAGGGAGGTGGGGGTGGCTACAGGGCCAGTGCCACAAATCCATCTCTTGTACCCCAATCCAGAAACAAAACGCCACGGGCTGCATACTCTGCCTGATGAAAAACCCACGACCAAATGAGTTATATTCCCAATGCAGCTCCCTCAAAAGGACTGCTTCATTTTAAATCTAGCTGGTCACCAATTACGGCCAAAGTCTGTGAATACATCATTGACTTAAGGAAAAAGAACCCATAGGTCAAGAATATGTGCACCAAGGAAGCGCTGAGTCCGAGTCCCCTGGGTGCTAAAGACACATTCCTACAAGCAGCACTACATTTGCAATAACTGATCACCTTGCTGACTTACACGTCCTGAAATCCCAGCATTCCCAAATGGAAAAGTCCATCAAAGACTCCATGGATATCATCTACTCTACCGTCTTTGCGGGAGATGGGGGGATGAGACCAAGACCAAAGGTTAATCTGTTCAAATTCATTGCTGATAGAACAACACAAGTCCAAAGTTTCTCACTGCTTTCCTAGCTTACTATCTATGAGACTAAATTACTAACAAGAGTCCTTACACAATTATTTTCACACAAAAATATTTTTATGATTGAGTTATCAGCCAACTGGTTGAATATCAGAGCTGCTATCTAAAAAGTAAAATCTCAACAGAGAACAAAACAAAACTGGAGTTGACAAAAATTAACTTTGGCTTTGAATTGTGTCCTTGGCCCTGAAGCCCCTTCTAGATGGGGCAGTGCTCTCTTGGTATTCCTGGTGAGAAATTAAGTGAAGTAGTTATTCCAACAAGGACTTCCAATCTTATGCCATTATTTTAGATTAAAACAATTTCTGGGGAAACAAGCTGTACAGGTAGCTCCCAAAGCCACCCTGTATATAATAAAGCCATCTTCAAAGAAGGCTGGAAGACTAAAGTATTTTTTTTTTTCTGCCTAAGAGGCCTGGGGGAAGACATCTTCAGGTAGGAGGACAAGCCCTCAGGAGCAAACAGGCTGCAGAAGCAAAGCAGAAGAGAAATACCACAGAGCATCTAGGCCCTGACCTTCTGCCCCCGGCAACTGAGTTAGCTGTTCCTTCCCGACTCCGTGTCACTAGACATGAAGGAGCTGCTCTAAGAAAGATATCAGGAGAGCCTTTAAAACAAACGCAGAAGGTTTGGACTCGCCCTCTCCCGGTGCATGGCAGGCTAAGGGGCTCCAATGCTGCAGAAAGCAAAACTGTCCTTGTTTCCATTACATCATCCAAGTTGGAGGGGAGAGTGGGGTGGGACACAGCTGGTGGCAGCTGTACCACCATCTGCCTTCTCCTAGCAGTGTGTGCTGGCTAGAGCAGCCACCTCCTACAGCTCCTGACAGAGGAGTAAAGGTACAACACCCTGTCCCGGAAAGAGTTCAAATTATTTAGAAATAAATCACTCCCATGATAAGTTAACAACCTCTGATAGGTTGCTGAGCTTGTTCTCTGTGAGTTTTAGGTTATTTGTTTGCGTCTCTTTAGACTAGGCTACAGAGAAAACTCTGTCAACTCTGTGCCTAATTAGACAAGCAGAATGTATAAGCAACTACCTTCCATCTGCTTTCCAAAGGTAAGCAGCCAAAAAGTACTGATCTGCAGCTGGAAGCATTGATAGAAGGAGGGGCAGTGCCCGAACCCAGCCGAGCAACCCTCATAGATGGGTACTTACTGCTGTTTTTAGCATCCTAAGCTAACTGGTTAACAGAGTCTCACCTTCCTCACACTCCTAGAGTTTCCTTCAGAACACACTGCAAGGCATCCCCCAGGAGAAGGGAAGGCTGGCGAGAACGGTCTGGGGGTTAATGCCTCATCTGGCATCCAACTGCAAAGTGGCAGCAGAGATGCAAACAAGTGGTTCAAGGATCTGATCAGGCCCATGCAGGTGTTTGTGTCTGGCCTGTAGAGCATTGTTTTAAAAAAAAAAAATTAAAAAAAAAAACTGTTGGCTTTTGTAAGAAGAGATTTCACATAAACATCTTGAATATTGGCTCTTCCTATGGGAAACGGGTGCAGGTTTCAAGGGATTTGGTGGCAGCAGACCCCCATGCCTCTGTGGCACCAGTTACCAGGAGATAAGTGCCAGCGCTGCGATTACATTGAGCCAGTGAGCTGAAGAGGCCTACATAGACCACTGCAACTACCTATGTCCCCACCCAGATCTCAGGAGCTTCCACTGTAACACCTGTGTCCCCACCCGGAAAAACCTCAGGAGTTTCCACCGTAACACCACTGAGCATGCAGAAAGATAAAGCCCAGGGATCGCTTCTCCTGCAGTCCGCTACTGACACTCCTCTTCAGGTGAGAGTTACCTGGATAACAAACTGTAATTCTATAAAGATCGATCATTCAGCCCAGTACAATGGATGATCACACTCAAAGGCCAGTTAAATCTCTCCTCGACCACAACAGCAGGTAGTAATTCGGAAGAACGTTCCAGGCCACTTACCATACATTTTGCCTTCGTCTGATAAGATGATTTTCCTCCTCCCACACGGTGGATAGATAGCCAGGGCCTCCTGAAAGCTCTGCTCAATGTCGGGGCTCCAGACCCCTTCGGCATCGTTGTCGATCGGCTTATCTGCAGAGTCACTCATCCTTTCCATGTTTTCGGCAGGGCTCTCGCTGCCGCTCCAGCTACTGGGCTCAATTTTGGCGGTTGGATTTTCCAAGCCGAAGCCTGGAGCCTTTTCAAGAAAATAAACCTAAAAGAGAGATCACAAAATAGTATAAGAACGCAGTATCCACAAACAGGGCACTCTTGCTGGTTCTACTGCAAGTTCTTCAGGCTCCAGCTTTGCTTGGAAAATAACTCCTAGGACAGAATATGGAATTTTGAGACACCAGTGGCTTTCGCTACCCAGAAGGGCAATGCCAGGCAGAAGAGCTGGATGGCTTCAGAGATGAGAGGAAATTTTCACCAAGGGCCCACTGTCTACTACAGATGCTTTGCTCAAGGATAATCAAATCTCCATAGCACAAGAAGTTGTTTATAAGAAAATAAAGCAAAATAAAAGCTCCAGTGTATCAATTGGCATCATAACTGAAATGGTACAGCATCCCAACATGAGATCATCACATGCAAGATGGTGGCAGGAACGAGGAAGGCAGGAGGAAGATTATTTTATTAGCATATTATTCATCCTACCAAGTCAGCTGTGCCAGCTGACCTGGACCTATGGCACTGATCTTCAGGGCTCTTAGTCTGTACAGTCAGGTCACTTTAACACTCGGCTCTGAAATGATAACCTCATGGCAGGGACCACATCATCCCCATCTATCTTTCTACAACACCCACCACAAGTGCCTGGCACACTTGAGGAAGTGTTCCACACCTTCATGGGGCACTTGGTCTCTTGATTCCTGATCACATGGGGGGGGGGGCCCTCTTTCATTTATTTTTCTATAGTACTGAAGATTAGAGAACTAAAAGAAATCTTTGCAAAAATTAATTCTCCTTGAATTATGCATGAAACTTATGGTCATAAAGGGATAAGCTTTCTAAACAAATGTCACACTGGCTTAACACCAATGTGAAAAGGATCTAATCCAGTACTCCCTGCTGTCCTACACACTAACATATCAATATTCCTTTGTTGAAAAGACATCAGATCATTAATTCAAAGTCCTTTGTAAAAGGGGGAGAATAATTGCTCCTGGGGATTAATGTAAAGGGGGAGGCACAGGGCCTGAATAGGGAGGGCTTCTGTGACCACTGCTTGTGCCCTCCCGCCCACCCTCTCAAATATGTGCAATATTTCAACAGAAGCGCCCAGGAGGAAAGCAGCGCTGGTCAATCAATCCACATCCCAAGGTCATCACCAGGACCGTCACCTGAGAGCAAGTGGCTTGTCAAACTGCATCCAGTGCCCCGGTCCTTTGCCACCAGTAAATCTCAACAGATCCCTGGTACAGAAACCCTGAGGCACACATGAATATCACACGATTAATAGTTTCACTAATGGGTGCTTTTGGCTTCTCACCCTGACAGTTTCTAGATTTGGCAACACCTGGATTAAAAAGAAAGGGACTGGGGAGGGGGGGAGAACCACCCTCAGGTTGTCTGCCTTTAAATGTTGCCACTGAGCCATCATTCAAAGAACATGTCAGCAAAGTATTTCCTACCCCTTACCAACACACGGCGTACATTTACACAGGACTTCAAAAACGAGCAGACCTTAAGGTATAAATTATGCTATAAGTAAGGGTTTTCAATTGACCCCCAGGTGAACTCTATGATGCCTACGGCGTGGGCCTTTTGAATTCTCAAGCTATTACATTTTGTGTTGGGATCTAAGCGTCTTATAAAACAAGAGTAGAACTGTACACTGTCCTAGAGTCTGTTCCCGCACCAGGGCAGCCTACTGGAGACAGAGAGAGTTAGAGGGAACTCTTTGGCAGTGGCTAGCCATCTTCTCCCTCCTCACCTCTCCCTGAACAAAACAAAAAACCAAAACAACAAAATATACAGAACCAGGGCTAGAGGTGTAGCTCCGCGGTGGAGTGCTTGCCTCGCATGCTTGAGACACTGGGTTTGATCCTAGCACCACATAAATAATAATAATAATAATAATTAAAAATAAATAAATTAAATAAAAGATATTGTGTTCAACTTTCTACGCTTGAACACCACCCACGACGGCCTCGGTGCTGACGGCCTCCATCGTGCCTGCACGCCGAAATTCTTCCTCTTATTAAACTAAAAACCATTATCTAATTACCTAACTTCTACCAATCTACCCTTGAACATTCATCCATCCCTTAGGGGAGCAAATCTCTCCCAAAACACTTATTTATTGTGTATGCCTGTCTTTTCGACCAGACCTCACCATCATCCTCTGCCCACCCGTCAGGAGCACATTCCAATCTGTCCACAATTCTCAATAAATGGCACCCAGAGGTGAACTTCTGATCCCTAAAACCTCCAAGCTCCCCCACCTCGGGGGTGGTTTCTTTAGTACTATGTCTTGGGCAATGGGTTTCGGAGCTTATTAAATTTCTTTATTTTTCACCTCAGCCCACATCTAGAGTCCTCAGACACTGAAACACCTCTGGAGAACTGTCAGTCCCAGGAGAGGGAGAAGACCCAGTCTATGGATGTTCCCAAGAAAAGGAAAGACTTTCTGCCAGCTGAACTATACAGAGGTGGACTATCACAGAAGGCAGGCAGCAGGGTGCTGCAAACAGTCCCTCCAAATTCCTGCAAAGGCTCAGTCCCAAGTCTTTGGTTGGTTGGGGAACACGACACCCACAAGCATTAATTATTCCACCTGGGCAGGAAGTCCAGACTCCATTCTAAACATTCCCATGTTTTCATGCATTTATCTCAAAGGGAAGAATTCTGCATCCAGGCGCTTGTCATTTGGTCAACTAGAGTTCCGCAGGATGGAATAACCTACTCTGGACTTGGGCCAGCACACAGCCCCAGACACCACCTGATATATAATCCACAGAGTTACTCAGGCCCTTGGTTTTACAACCCAATTGTAAGATGAGGCCCTGTATGGGCAGAGAGCTTCCGATCACAAGACTGGAACTGGCTGAGAAAACACTCCCCAGGCTGGATACCGAAATAACCATTCTGGCATTCCATCCCTCAGCTCAAAATCCACCTCATCCTGGAAACTGTCCTTGTATCCACTGGCTCTGAGTATTAGCCACACTTTCAGAGTATCCTAAAAATACACAGACCTGGTTAACCACCACCCAGTCTGCCTCAGTTTTTAATGTATAGGATAAATTTCCACTTATTAAGATCTAATTAAGTAAATTATGTGCAGAATATCTATACCTGCAGGAGTGATGTCTTCACCTCCCTCCTACATCCTTTGAGCAAGGGAATCCACCTTCCCTCAACTCAGTCAACAAAAAAGAACTTGGTACAAGGGCACGGGGTGACGTGATATTAAGATTCAAACCAATCTGACTTCCAAACGTGACTCAACCATGAGCCACACAGCCCAACTAAACTCACCTCTCAGAAGCTCAAGTTCTCGCTTGTAAAATGGAGGAGATTAGAAGTTGAATTCAGTCCTTCTACAGAAAATTCACTAAACTCATAAAGAGTGAGAAGAGTGAAGATACTCTGTCATCTGTGAAACCAGGCGGTCGCTCACTTATTTTCAAGTCCATCCTCTCTTAGACAATGGTGTACTTTATGATCCCAAAATAGCTACTCAAAATGGGATGGTGCAGAAGCAAAGGAATGCCCCCTCCTCATGGTTCACTTTGGGAAGTAGACTTACAAAGGATCTTCTCGAGGTCTTCAGATGACTAAATGGAAAAGTTAAATTGATGACAAACTGGGGAAGGAGACTGATAAGTTATGTTATGTGCATGTATAAATATGGCACAATGGATGCCACTATTAGGTATAATCATAATGCACCCATAAAAGTAAAATTAAAAATTAAATTTTTTTTAATTGATGAAAAATTTCTAAGATTCACCTAAATCCAAACTTTTGTTTTTTGAAATAGGTTCAATAGTTTCCCTCTTCTTCTGAACAGGGGGTGGTTCAATGAAACAACCCTTTCCATAGCATACCTCCAAGGAAAAGAAAGGAGGTGCTAAGTTTTTTGTTGAAAATAGACCCCCCCCAAAAAAAATATATTACATAACAGTGTAACTCAGCTTCCCTCAAACACTTTTCTGAAAGCTCCTTGTTTCCTGAAACTCTTCCCAGCCACGCTCTAATAAACTCCAAAAACAGCTGTTCCCAGTGATTCGATTGTATCTAAGTGCCCCACCAGCCACATTCCCTAAATGGATAATCTCTTCACAGTCCACAGACCCTTCAAGAAGGGTCACAGGGATTCAGGGGAATGAGCATGATGTGTCTCAGACCCACACATTCTGTTCTGAGCTCTTAGGGGCAGGCATATGGGGGGAGATCCTCAGATACCTGTATTCCTGGCACAACTTCATTCAGTGAGCACCCGCCAAGGGGTGAGAAAGGAGGGGTCTGCTCCCTCTGAATCTTAATTCCTGTGAGTCTTCCACAACGTTAAGAATCTCACCCACTTTCAGATGGTTAAAAGACTCAACGAAATGCCACTGAAGGTGAGGGTCACCAAAAAACCCTGTTTTAGCTGGTGTCTTACTTCATATCCTATAAGGCAGCCCCGGGAGTTTAGGACTCTCTGTCTACTCAAGTCACCCAGAACCCTGTGGCCCTTGTAGTATCTGTATGCCTCAGTTTCCATCGTAAACTCCCAAAGGAGACAACTCAGTCACTTATCCTCTTGTGTTCCCACAGATTCTGCCCATAATAGAATTGGGTAAGATGGCCATGGCTCCCATCACCTGCACCCCAGTGTCCTGGAGAACTGAGACTACCAGGCTCACCACAGTCCCCCCCAGTGCTGACACAGGACACGGCTCACAAGTAGTCAATAAAAGAAAGAATGAACCAACAACCAGATGACGTGGGCAGTCCTTGAGAACGACAGGGCTGAGCTCATCCCCCAGATTATATATAAGTGAGAAGGGGAAGGGTTTGGGCTACTTTCCCATCCCTCATGCTGACTCTGGCCAAAGTTCCACATGAAGAGTAAGAGCCCTGAAAGAAATCAGCACATGAGGAAGACGCAGGAGGACGCAGGGGAGATGGAGGCTGGACCAGCCAGCCAGCTCCTCGTTAAGAACTGACTGCGATTTCCGACAAGCAAACGTTCTTCTATGTTGCAGGGGAGAGTCAGACTTG